ACTCTTTCCAAGCAGTATTTTCAGTGAGTGAATGATGCTGAAGGCAACAAGTATCCCTCTACCTGCCTCCTCCCTGTCCATCTCAAATTGATCTCCAGGTGAAGGCTCTTTGCAATCTTAAAGACACAGGAGTGAATGTACCTTCTTCTGTTGTTCAAAACCTACGTGACTGTCACCCTGTATCTGAGGGACAGAGTAAGAACTTACCTTTTTTGTCTCTTTGCATCATGTAAGATCACTTATATGAGAGCTAGAATATTACCAGAAAATCAGATATATATTCTAACTGCAGTTGATCTGCTAAAAATAAATCACACAAGCACGGTAACAACTTTTTCTGGTATGCTGACTCCACCTTCTCTTTAGACAGATAATTTCAAATAAAATTAAAAAAAACCCCACTTGATGTGACATACTATTTGCACAAACGTAAATGCGTGTATGTGTATCAGTTGCTGAATGCAGGTATTAAGGGATTTAGCTATTAATTTTTCATTGTTTAGAAAGAGATTAATTTAAAAACAGACAATAATCAAATATGTCAGAAAAGAATTAAGGTATTATTGCTAAGGGAGCTACAGAGATGTATTACCAGATGTGAATCTATCCCACAGATTCTTTCTTCTGCTGAATACTTGAATTAACTGTTCCTGTAGTAAAACATCAAGTACATCTTAAAGTGAACTGCTAGCCTCCTGATTTTCACTAAACCAGGAAATTTTTATGTACTTGTGGGTGTTCTTTCCTTTCTGCTAATAAAAAAATATTTTTCTTACAGAACAATGCATCTGGAATGCTGGCTGCAGTTCTGTTAACATAATTTTGTCATAAAATTGACTAATTTCTACTTTTGTCTTAGGCCTCCTGTTTAGAACCCAGTCTCTTTAAAACAAAATAAATTTATATGACCTTTTTTTAATTAATAAACTTTCTTTTCAGGATTGGTATTAAGACTGTTTCTATGAGTTTCAAAAACAGATTGTAAGGTTCATTTATGTTGCTATTCCCAAAGAAAGAGCAAATGAAAACAACTAATCCATTTTCAACCTACAATGTTTGATGTGCAATTTCACACAATAGCCTTTGATTACTTGCATTCAGTGCACTATTTTACATTGCAGTTGAGCCTGTAGTTCGTCAACTGAGGCTCTAAAATAGAGAAATTACAGGACCAAATTTTAGCATTGCAAAAATAAGCAGGACATAATTAAGCAGAAAGTCATCATTTCCTTGTTTGTTTCTGATGCAGTTCATGCAGGGACTGCTGAGGACTGGAAGTACTGCCTTGGTGTTCTGCTTCTTGAAGATTGGCAGAAATTAGGAAAATGTGCTTGAGGAAAGGTGTAAAAATCTACACAGGCATTCTAAGATTGTGCAGAAATGCACAAATATTCACAGTGACTTTTGCAGAGTGTGTTGGGTTTTTGGGTTTTTTTGTTTTTCTTTTCTCCGTAATGTAGCCCTCTGTCGTTGAAACACAAACAAGCAAAAGATCATTGCTGGATGGGCAAAATTAACTGCCCCCTATTTTCTGGGGGTGGTGACTCTGCTTTTCCCTCACAAGCATCCTTCACCAGCTGCTGAAACCCTGCTTGCAGTAGAGCTAATGTGTCTCTGTCCCCAGCGCCCGCTGTCCCCACCATCAAGGCTGAGGACTGCACGGTGTGTTGGGACATGGCCACCATCCGCTGGCACACTGTCTCGGCGTCAGCAGAGTCCTTCACCCTGGAGTACTGCCGACAGCACTCACCAGAAGGAGAGGGTCTCAGGTCAGTGCCGTGGTCACAAGCGCCACTCGGTCGGATTAGGCAGCCGCTAATGAGCATTTCCCAGATGGTGTGTCATTATGCAGGGGATTATTCTGCCTTCAACTGTGCAAGGAAGAAGTCTACTTCTGCATGCTGAGGACAGCACTAACCCATGAGATTAGGCTGAGATATAAAAATACTTCCTTTTTATTCTGCTTAACCGGGCAGTCCCTTTCATTTGGGGCCAAAACACTGAAGATGTTACACTGTCTGCAGTCAACCAGAAGTTGGAGGTCTGTGCTGGCTGGGGAAGCAATGACTGCCCCACAGCTGCCACAGCCCCTGGCAGGGCAGGGGAGGGCAGCTGAGCTCCATGCGAAGGAGCAGGATGGAGGAGCCTAGCCCAGTTTGCTATCTGCTTTGTGGTGAACAAGATAGGAGCCAGCCTGGGGCATAGTGAGGATGATATTTTGTCCTGGTAATGTTCGTGACCCATCTACTCTCTGGATGTGTGGGGAGATCCCTCCCAAAACACATCTGAGCCCAGGACTGTCCAGCTCTGCTGGCATGCTTCAGGGATCAAAAAGCAACACAAAGAGCAGTTTTGAAATTGGGGTTGGTGTCTCCTTATGCCAGACCTTTCTGGTTTCCCCTACACTAAGTCTATGCTGTGTAGAAGAGAGTGGGCTGGAATGTAGGTACCACTGAGCCGTGAAACCATGTGCTGTGTTGAAGTGCAGAGAAAATTATGTGGTGTTCTGTCTGTCCTTGTGGCTCAGCAATTTTTGATGTTTAATGACAACAACATTCCAGCAAAACACAGTTGCAGAGGTCTGAGAAGCTTTGGGAGGTGGGGGATAACTTGCCCTATGGAACCCTGTGGAAGAGCCTCAGCCCAGCTGAGTTTGTCTGTCTTCACCTCCTGGGGAGCCTGATTGGGGTCTTCACCTGACAGCTAGTTCACATGGACTTTGTGAAGATCTGGCAGTCAGGGAAGAGCTCCACTCCTTGCAGTAAAAATTAGTTATGTGAACTAAAGAGTTTATGAATTTCTAGAAGGCAAGTATAACACCGAAATTGTGTGTGCCTTGTTCCCTACAAAAGTATGCTAAAAATTGAAATAAAATATTTCTGTGGGGTTGGGAGACCTTTTTTCCCATACAGTACCAATGTTCTGTGCTAATGAAATCGAGGAGAGGTCTTGTCCAGCTCTTATGTCTCTTGGAGGGCTGCCAGGACCTGCTCTGCTTCATAAAAATTTCATGAGGCCATCAGGTCCCTGTCAACCTGTCAAAGTCACTGTTGGTCAGGCTGCTCCCAAAAGCTATGGTGTGTGTTTATCCTCAAATTTCTTTGCTGTTAATTGGAATTGCGTCTTTTACTCAGAACTGAACCAGAAAGTGTGCTGGTTTCTGTACTCTCTAAGTGAGGTGTTGCGTGCTGATAACTGCGGAAAAAAGCTGCCAGAACTAACCTATTCCCTTTCTCAAGTGAGCTTGTGCAAAATCTAACATCTTTATAATGATACTGAGTCACGTTTGACTTTTTTTCCCTGCTGTGTGCAGAAGCTGGTCTTTTACTGTGACAAGTGTGAAAAAGTCCCATAGGACAAAATAATGAATTTTTTCAGAATTGCTGAAGGTTAAATTTCTATATTTGTAGAAGGGCTACGGCCTCCTTTTACAGTGGCAAAGGCCATCTTTTACCACTTATTTTCCCTCAAACCAATGCCCTTCTTTCCTTTTCCAAAAGCAGCACCTCAAGTTTAAACTCAAAAGCTTCTATAATGAAGAAAATCACATGATATTTCTGTGATGGAGAAATTAACTTTTAAGATTTCTATTTAAGTTTTTTGCATAAAGCCAAGAAAAAAAAGAGTGCACTTGTAGATGGAACATACTGCCTGTGTTTCTCCCATCCAAGTCCCTCAAGGTGCTTATTAGGACTAGAAATCAATTCATTATGTAGATGATATAGTGAGAAGTTACCTTCTGGAAGTACTTTAGGGAGCTTAGAGTTCCTAAGTCAGGTACCTATATCCGGTGGAATAAAATTGTGTCTTTATGCACACCTAGCAGCATTTGGGCCTGAAAAAGCTATAGTTCTTCTGGTTGCTTTCCTTGAAAGGTTGGAGTTTGCCCTTCACAGGTATCCTGGGCAACACTCATCTTGGAGACCAGCCAAATGCAGAGCCCTTTGACAGACAAACTGTACCTCTCATGCTTCCAATGGCCCCATAATTGAGCAATTTCCCAGTCCCTGTGTGGGAGTTCAAATACATTTCTCAGCAACCCTGGAAAGTTTGTACAACTGTTGCTGGGGGCATAGCAGGAAAGCAGAGGTGAAGGAAGGACATCCAAGGAAAGTCCTGGAGAAAGCAGCATGGTTCATCTCACAAGGCTGCTTTTGCACATATCATTCTGGGAGCTCATCCAAGGCAAGGGAGACTGCCAAGGGAGCAGGCAAGGAGAAATGCCCCCATCAAACAGCCAGAGATGTGCATGGAGCCCCTGGTCTGGACTGGCCCACTGTAGCCTTCAGCTTATCACAGAATCACAAGATGGTTGAGATTGGAAGGGTCCTCTGGAGGTTATCTAGTCCAACTCTCTGCTCAAGCAGAGCCACCTAGAGCTAGTCACCCAGGCAGCTTTTGAATATCTCTGAGGAGGTCCTTGGAGCAGTCCTGGAGCAGTCCCAGCTCCCTAAGGAGAGAATTTGAAGAACATTTGGAAATAAATACTCATTAAAAGTTTCCTTCTAAAGACCATTTAAAACAAAACAAACTAAATCTTTGAGTTCTTTCTCCTTGCCATCTTGCCACCTGAGGGACATGGTTTCATACAAAACCACCATAATTTTCCTGCAACAATGAGTCCCTGGCCTGCTGCTGTGGTTTTAAAGCTCCTTCCTGGACTGATTCTATTTCCAGAATCTTTATGAGGCTTTGAAGTGTTTCTTTCCATTTCCAGAGCTCTGCTATTTTCTCCACATTCAGCCTCTTTGTGTTGAGAAGTCAATGGAGCTGTGGGTGGAAGATGGAACACTGAGAAATGTAGTCCAGGGATTAGGTGTGTGGGCTGTTCAGATGGAAACCATATATCACATCTTGAGAAATCTGTAAGACTCAGAGAGGCAGAAATTAGTACACTGAGTTCGTAAAAGTGGAAGTGAGTGAATGTCATCCACTCTGACAATGCAAGACTGGCACTACTAGTAACCAAAATTTTCCATCTACCTGTAGAACAGGTCTAACACTGGACAAAGGAGAGCAAGCCTCCCTCCTGTTGCGCTGCCCACGACTGTCCTGCCAGCTCAGGGAGCAAGGTGTGGAAAATAGGGAATCTTCTTCCCCTCTGGGTGTGCTGGACTTGCTGCCTGAGATAGCAGTGAGGACCATTGCAGGTGGTGCTTTGAGATTGAACTCCAAGACATCCAGAGCCAGGACAGAAGAGAGGAAGGGAAGCATGCAGCACGGCTGGGGGCGAACTCAGAGCTATTTGTTCTTTATTTTTAACTTTAAGAGCATTTTTCCACCCATGTTACAACCCTTCTGTGTGGTTCTACAGGCATCTTGAGAAGCTTGTATACTTTCAGCTCTAACTCCACATCAGTGGTATCAGCACAGGTCTGGAGATGCCGTTTGAGTGGGGTCTTGGGGGTGGAGATTACAATTATGTCACAGAGGGTGTTCTGAATCACTGTGAGGCATCTCATTTGCCAGGCTGATGCAATATTGAAAAATATTCTCTAGACTTTGTTTCCTTGAAATAAATGAGGGTGCTGATGAGAGATATGCATCAAAACACAGCATCAGATTTCTCTAAACCCAGGAAAATCACAACTTTAACCAACAACTACTACTAATAATATTCCTTGGCAATTTAAAGGTGAAGAAACAAGTAACTTCTTTCTGTTCTGCTTTGAATAGCACATACCTGAAATTTGGAGACTGGATTTTGAGACTTAAAGATTCCTATTCTAAAGAGAGGGAATAAGAGGAGATACTTGAAATATCTAACTTCAAATATTTCTGGAATTTCTATGCACTGTGGGGACAGCGTAAATACGATAACATTTAGACTAAAGGCTAGGATGCCTCATGCTTTGATAATAACATGTTTCCAATCATCGTTGGCAGTTGTATTTAAAGTAGAAAATAGCTGACATAAAAAATGTTGGAGGTGGATTTTTCTTTCTTTCATGACCAAAACTGCACAGTTTAACACTTCAGGTGAGCTTGAGAAAGATCTAGCTGCAATGGTTATTACAGGAACTTGGAAATTAAACAGGCTTTCCCCATCATAGTCAGGATGCATTTTCCCTTCCCTTCTCCTATGCATAACCTCAATTCTGTAAGCTAAGCAGTAATCATACCTTCTCCTCATCCTTGCTTTTTTATCACTGATTGCAGGATCAACCTGAAGCATGACAAACTAGTTTTTTCTGGGGAGCCCTCAGTATTCACTTCCCTCCTTCACCCTTTCCTCTAAACAGAAAGAGAGGCAAGAGCAAAATCTATTTCTTCTTCACAACAGCCTCTTGTGAGCTCAGAGCTGGCTCAGAGTATTGCAAATGAAATTTCTTCTTGTTGGCATATTCTGTTTCATTAGCTGGCAGTAGCAGGACTGTTTTTTAAGCCTTAATCATAGCTAAAATTGATAGGCTCTTTTTCTTAGGTGACCCTATTCTGCAATTGCCTGGACCCAAACTCTTCTCTGAATACTCAGGCTCTTGGATCCACACTCCAGAGTGTAAATACTCCAGATCTACTCATTACACTGGAATGTACCTATCTACTTGGTTTTAGAAACAATTTTGTGTTTTATTAACTAACCATCAGTTAAATAGCACATAGTGAAAAAAGATCTCCTAATTTCTTTAGAAGGACAGTGGCTTACATGGCATTTTCCAAAAGAGAGAAGAAAGAGCCATATAGAGGCCATGATTGTGCTTCAGACACATTGATCTACATGTCACCACAAACAGCTTCCAATTAACAGCTTAGCATATCCTCCCTTCATCTCATTTGTAACTGTTGGTTCAAAACTTCTTTCTGATGATCTGTGCTTCAGATTCACACAAAAAAAATGTCAGGATGGTGCTTTTAAGGAACAGATTGGGTGAGATGTTTCTAGGAATCATGGACAAATTTCTTCAAAGCTTAGGTGCCCACTTCCTTTCCCCTTCCTCTGCTTCCATCCTTGTTTCCCTTCCTCTCACTTCTTTTATACCTGCCTCCTTGCTCAGGTCCTATATTTTTTTTTCTTCCACTCATCTTTCCTTTTTCTCCTGTCCCCTATACTTAAATGAGCCTTTTTCGTCTTTCAAGTCTAAAGATCTCAGGTTCTCATCAGGCAACTCATCAGGTTCTACCTCTTCCCTGAACCTTTCAGTAAGAACCGATCAGCTTGCTGAGCTCCTGATACCTTGATGAAGTGCTCTTGTGGTTGGGGCTTTGATTAGTCATGAGGGTGAAGCAAACTGTGCAGTTGCTACCATGTTTGGGCAACCCGTTTCTGTTTACTGCATCAATTTCAGCATTAATGTAACTCATTCCCCAAAGGCAGCATGGCTCCCTGGTGATCATGCAAGAGCCCCAAACTCTCTGAAATGCTTTCAAATTGGGAAAAAAAAAAAAAAAAAAAAAAAAAATCACAGTTGCACCCAGTACTTTTTCTCAATACTTTCAATAACTTTTTATGACAGCTGTCAATACAAAATACATGTTTCCAAACTAATAAGGATGATGCACCAGTCTTTCCCCAGGATGCGATCCTCCTAGACGCAGAGCTCTATGTGGTGTTTGCAGGAATTTGGTATGTGTAGGCCTGTGCGATTTTACCTTGGTGTGATAAATGCAGCAGAAACAGATGCTGATGGATGAGCACTGGTTATTCTTCAGATTATACTGCTCTCTGGTGGGACATACGTGGAAAAACAGTCACTACAAATGAATAGCAATGATCTGACTGCTGACTTGCCTGCCTTACCTCCTCTGGGGTCACAGTAATTGGTGCTGGAAAAGGTAATTTGTTTTTAATCTAGGTCCCCCTAGAAACATTACCTGGAGGTGGGAGACAGTGCTGGGCTCCACTCTCAAACCTGATGTGGAAAGGAAAGTGCCTTGCACCCACTCCAAAGGCATGTCTCCTGTTCATTAATTTGCTGGAAAGCAGAGCAAGACTTCTGCATTCAGCCCTTCCTCACACTACTGAGATTATAATTTTACAGTGAAAAGGACAGGGGGCTTATCTCAAAAGACCTGCATTACATTTGAAAATTTAAATACTTACCTTGAAGATTCCTATAAGCACTACTGAGAGGAAATAATCTATTTATACAGATAAACAATCTTTACCTGCAGGCATACAATGTGGTAGGTATATACTGTCTGGTTTTGCCATTATCATATGAGGCAAAAATGAGGAAAATCAGGATTCAGTGTGTGAGAATTTGTTAAGCCAATCTTTCATACTCCTGACAATATAGAAAATAAAACTGAGATTTTTCTAGCCATCCAAAGTACTTACAATGGCACTTCAAAGCGCCTATGAAGCAGATTGAGTGGGTGCTGACTCTCACTTTCCCGCAGTGTGTCAAGGCATCAGCAGTGGAGGATGTGAGGGCTGGAGCTTTTGCGGCATCACAAAGGGGAGACTTAGTCAAAGCAGGGCACTCAGCAAAGGCAGCTCCCCCTGCTGCTACCTCTTGCAAAACCAGCCTGTTAGGGTGCACAGCACCATGAGGGAGACAGAGCCAAGGCTTTGTTGATGAACAATTTGTGAGCAAGGAGTTCATAAGGGTATCCATTCTTTTGGATCAGTACAAGCATAACAAGTGCATTCACTGCCATGCAACTGAATTAATTACAGGGGTTTTTTTTCTTCAGAAGCTTGTTCATTTTGTAATGCAGCCTTTTTACAGGAGGTGGATGAGAATTTGATTTCATGCTGCTTGCATTTTATATGATGACTTATGCTGCAAAATGAACATGAAGTGAGCATTACACCAAATGACTGCACTGAGTGAGAAGGTGGTACAGGAACAAAAGCCTGGAAATTTGTCAAAGTAAGGAGGATCCCTCAGTTAAAATGCTGAAGCTCCTACATAACCCACTTGTTTGTGAAAACAGTGTTCACCTTTCCAATTTGGAGTTTCTCCTTGGTGCCTGTTCTTTCAGTAGTCAACAATATTGTTAGGTGGCTTAGCTGTTTGTATAAATTATTCTGTCCTGGTTTGCACATCTGCATACATTTTCATGCATGAAATTCTTTAAAATTTGCAGATCTTTTTCTGGTATAAAGAGACCTGAACTGAAAGTATCCCTGGAGCCCAATGTGAACTATTTCTTCTACCTGAGGACTGTCAACCTGTTTGGGATAAGCGAACAAAGTGAAGCAGCTCTCATCTCAACTAAAGGTAGATCACTGTTTTCTGATGTTAGAATAATGGGATGGAGGGGCAAAACAGCCAAAGATGGCATTTTCCTCTGGAAATCTAGTTGAACTTTCCCATACAGAAGTAAGAAAGTTATTGAGGTTAAAGGGATTGTATTTTATCTACTTAAAATTAGCACAATCAGAGGCAACCTCTCTTGAAGTTGGTAAATTTATGTCAATGTAAAACTGATCTGACTTCAGAAATAAAAATATTTAATTTGGTCAGAGATATGAAATTATTCAGTTTGCTTGAGTTTGGTAGCACACATTCTAATAAAAAATGCTATGATCTTTAAAAAACCCCATGAAATTAAAACCTTATGGAGTTTGGATTTCAAGGATGGGGAAGAATGCAGAGCAGCTTTAAAATGTAATGGAAGATTTAAGCTTTAAATTTTCCAGATAAATAGTGTTTGATCATGTATGGTTCTTTCAAACCAGCCTCAAAATTCAAATTTGCTATTTTGAAAAAGCACTTGATTGAAAATTATTCAGCCTTCTTGAATACTGAAGACTTCTTTATCACCTAGCTACATTTATGAATAACAGACTGCTGTCCCAATCAGGCACAGTTTGGGAGAGCCCTTGCATTTGCACCCAATTTTCTGCCACTCCTACCTGCCAGCAGACACAACTCTGTCCAGCTAAAATGGCAGAAATTGTTGCTTAACATTTTACAATTAATCTTATGTTAACGTTGCCAGCCTCTCAGAACTGGTGTTTCTTTGTCATGAATTGTACCAGGAACTCGATTTCACCTGCTGAGCGACACAGCCCATCCCACTTTGCAAATCTCCTCCAATGCAACAGTGATCTGCCTTCCTGAGAAAGCCAAATTTACTGGGTGAGTGAGCAGTAGCATGACAAGCATGACCACCTTCACTTGATAGTTTTCATATGGTCCTAACTAATTTCGTAGAAGAACTGAATCATTTCAGTCATGCAGCCCCTGGACATTGTGTGATTGACTCCCCTTTCAAGGACTGCAATATCTCTATAAGCCAGGAGCAGCATTGATACAGGTGCTGGGAGAAGTTCGGTATTGCACTGAGGAACCTGCAGAAGGTCAAAGACAGTGGTGTCTACTGGGATTGCTGAGTTTGCCTCAGCCCATTGTCACTGCTTAAACCTTAAACCTGTTGCTTAAAGCAAGTCTCAAAGCAACTTGTTGCTTCCCTGAGAAGGCCAGATGTGTCTTTACTTTTGAAATATTGTGGGTAGAAATAATCCATCCTTTTACTTTGCTCCTTTACTGAGGGCATTATTGGCAACATTTTCCAAAGCATCTGTGGCTTTGAAGAACTAGGCAGTGCTCCCAGGATGTGTTAGAACGATTGTACCAGGCTACCTCCATCCATTGCAAACATTACTTTTTTTGGTCAGTTCCATCACAAGCACAGGTCCACTTGTGCCATACTAATATGACTTCTTAAAAGGTAATGCTTAAGAACTTTTTTTTTTTTTACTGTCACAGCTGAATGCACACAAGATGTTTGTCACTGTGTCTACTTAAAACAGCCAAGCTTTCTAGTTTGAAAATGCCTGCTGAATTTGAGGCCTTTTTTGCCTCCAAAGTCACCTTTTCCACCTTTTGTTAGCTTCATACAATTTTGGGTAAAGTTGCATAGTTTTCAGCCCTCAAGATGAGTTAATCCCTGTGCAAAGATGAAATGGCTCTCAGTGATTGCATTCAAATCCTTGATAAAACTCTGCAGTTAGAAGAACAGAGTCCAATCTAGTAGTAATTTTAGATGCAGCTGGGTGACATGACTCTAAGAAATATCACAGTATGCTTGGTCTACCACGGCACTCATGTTACTGTACACCTCTTCCACAAACAGGTTTCCTTCAGTCCTGGGTGAGCTGCTGCCTGCTCGAGGACATCATTACTGGGAAATAGTTGTCTCTGCCTGCAGAAGCTACAGGATTGGGATTTGCTATGAGACAACATCACAGAGCAGTGTCCTGGGGCTGAGTGATACCTCCTGGTGCATGCGGTGCTGTCCTACACAAACCAGGTAAAACTGAGTCAGTCTAGGTGCTTGGGAAATTACTTGTCCTTTATGTAAATAAAGCTGGCCATCTTCAAGAATCTCAAGAGCAGAAAGAATCAGTCTGCTTTCTTTCTGCAAATTTGAGTAATTAGGAAAGGACAACTACAAAGGAGCTTTAGACTTCCTCTTAATTAAAAAAAACTTATAAACCTTAAAAAATAAAATTAATCTCAAACAGACCAGTTTACTGCCCTTCACCTAGCCAGTGAATAAAACTTTGAAAACTTATTTGCTACTGCTTTGTCAGTCCAGGCTAATATCTTGAACTGCTTCACAAAATCACAGCAAGTGTATTTATCTCCATAAATCCAGTCTTTTTAGAAACTATATTCATCTGCAGGAGATGTCAAGACTCCACAGGGAATGCCTTCTCCTGCCTTGTCCCCCACAGTGACAGGTACCTACCTGCTACTGTGGCAGGACTGCTGAGCACTGGGGTAGTCCTCAGTGAGACAGTGCCAGCTTGCTTGGAGGTTTGTAAGGTTACACCCTATTAATGGTGTAAAGGTGCTCTTGATCTAAACAAGTATGTTTTTTTAGTGTGAAATCATATAGATGGATGACCATAACTACCTAAATGAAACAACTGAGATGCAAAGAGTTTTGCCAAAGCTGAGCTCATGTTTAAATCCCCACAAAGAGATTTGGTAAGAAAGATATAGATGAATACGACTACAGCAAGTCTGCTTTTATCCTGAGGGTCCAAAGATGCCAAGTGAAAGGGCTCATCAGTACCAGACAGGGCTCTGAAGCAATGCCGCATTCGCTTTGCTTACATATAGCGCAAAATGCCACATGATATGCTGCTGTATGTGGCCACCTGCTAATAGGTGGGAATGAAGCAGTAGGTTATTTCTGGTAAATCACCATGAGGAGCCTCACTGTATTCTGGTTTCCATTTTCCCGTAGCTTTCTTTACAGGTTTCTTCACACTGGTGTGATGAGCGACGTCCATGTGACAGAACACCCGGACAGGATTGGTGTCCTGTTGGATTACAGTGGTGGCAGACTGTTGTTCTTCAATGCAGAGAGAGGACTGATGCTGCTTGCCATCAGGCACAAATTCACTGATGCTGCTCACCCGGCCTTTGCCCTGGAGAAGGCTGGAGTGCTTACCCTGCACACGGGGATGGAGTTGCCAGAGTTTGTGAAGCACAGCTAATCCCCTTGCTTCACACCCTCAGGAAAACTGACAATTACAGTGTCAGGGGACTGGGAGGGGAAGGGAGGTGTCAGTCTTCACTGATGAATGCCACGCACAGAGCTCTCCCCCACATCACCAGAAATTGTAGTTAGTGCTCAGCCACATAATCACCCTGAGCCTGGAGAGAAAATCGACTCCCTCAGATAGAGCATGCACCTAGTGATATACACAGCAGTACTTTTGAGGGGAAAAAAAGTTTTGTTAGGTATGAACATTAAGGGAGGGATGGAAACATACTTTCCCTGTGAAAATAATGACAGTGCTATCTGTCTTTTTAAAGTTGATGATGAACCTGTGTATAAAATAAATGCATCTCTTACTGCAATACATGAAAGCCATAATTTCTTCATTTGCCAGGACAGTAGGAGCCAAAATCCAGGGTGATATGTTTGAAAAATGTGCAAAAATTTAAACAACGGAACCATTCTGCAGGTTAATATATCTTGTGTTATTGTTTGCTAAGTCTTTATTTTAAATGAACAAATTAAGAAAACTTGGAAACTTAGAAATCTGCACATTTCCAAAATGAGTGAGTCCCAGACTAGTCCTCCTATCAGTCAAGTAAAGTTTGAGTATGCAACACCTACCTACCCTGCTCACAGCAGGCTCACACACCTGACGCTGTCCTTAAGTATCTGTACCTCTAAATAGGTACTTATGAAACACATGTATGAGGAAACTTGATAGTAGTGGTAAAAGTCTTGCCTATGTTTTTCACCCTCAGTTTGCTGGCTAGGTGGTTTTGATGGTGAAGGAAAGGTTGCCACCTGGGACCCTAGAGTCAAATTGCCAATGAGCTTCTTGCGAATCACCCCTTTTCCATCACTGCTTTTTACTTTTGCACTTGCCAATTTGATGCTCCTCATTTCGGGCTTGTGGACATTTTACTGTATCTATCCTGCTCCCTCCTGTTATCTACACTAGCACTGGCATCACACCAGCAAAGCACATTGTCTTGCGGCCATCAACACAGACTAAAAATGGCTGGTGCCGCAGAGGAGTAGGATGCTGATTTTCCCCCTTGGCTTTTTCAAACCGTTTTTCTAAGCACTTAACACATAGGTGGTACAGCTATTTTCTTGTCTGCCCCAAGGGCACAAGTGCCGGTCATGCCAACACCCGTGAATCCTGGGGGGAAATTAATCTAAAGGCAGGCAGGCAGTGCTTTTCTTGCTGTGCCTGCTCTGGAGATTTCTGCCGCAGGGGACTACACTGCCAGGCTCATTTCTGAGCTCAGTGGAAGAGCTGTACTCCATGAAGTAAAGCAGATTTCAGAGTCTAACAGAGAGGGTTTGCTTCTGAAGAGAGGACTTAAATGGGTTACAAGGAAGCTTCTGCTTTTTATGCCCAGAGGAGATGCCTGCTACTGCTGTTTTATTTATGACTTAACACCACCAAGGCATGTGCTTGCTGCTTTAGCCTGCTATATGCTTGGTGTCCCAGAAGCACCACACTCCACACTGTCATAGCAGGCTCAGGCAGGACGGTTGAGGCAAGATAAACAAGATCCCGTGACCACCTATTTTAAGCCAGAGCTCTTTTTGGCATTTCAATTAGAGAATGCCAAAGTTGTGAGTTGAGGGTAATGCCCTGTCAGCTTAAGTGAGTATTTTGTAAAGGTGTGCAGGATGATGAGAAAAAGGTCCAGTTTTGAGGGTAGCTTATTGAGGTAGTTAACATGAAGGCTGAGGAGGAGGAGGCAGATGGCAGGCTGAAAACTCACACAGAGCAGATGGTGATAAACTAACAGGCAGGTCAGTTGTGTTGGCAGGGTGCATTTCTCAGGCTCCTACAGCCAGTGAGCTCACCAGAGGTTTGGCTATCTCCAGAGCTTAACATGATGCTTTGAATTAAACCAGAAAAATCACAGCTTTGGGGCGATTTTACCTGCATTCTCGTCACCCTTGACTCTGTTATCCCAAGAGTGGAATTGCTTCATGGACATCAAAGCGACGTATTGCCAAGGGGACAGCCAGTGAGGAGAGCAAAATGACATGAAATTATTTGAGTGGCTTTTTCAGTGAAAGCAATAAGCAATTGCCTTGTCAAAGGTAACTGTGTATTAGTAAATAGCGGTTCTAACAAGGAAAGCAAAGGCCTCATCTATAGTCAGGCACTACTGCAACATTTGAGCTTGGTAAAATGTTTTTTTATTGGAGACGGCTCATTCTTAGAAATATTTAGTTCAACTTGAAAAACTGCCTGACTCTCTTTTCTTCTAATTTTTGTATAAGATTCAGCTTTTGGATTGGGCAATACCAAAGAGTGTACTTACTGCTTATGTGAAAGATGGATAAATTATTTGAAGTTGAAAATGTAACTTGAAGAGCCTAAACTGTACTGATTTGAATGTCTAAATCTGATCTGCACTAAGCTATGCCAAATGAAGAAATGCCTAGAGAGAATATCTTGTTTGGAGAGATGGTGAACAATGAACAAACACTATATGCAAGAAATAAGATTCAGTACAGAGAGAAAATTCATATTAATGAGGAAAGCAGGTCCTGAAAGCCACAATGAAGCTGCTAGACACTACACGGTGCAAACTCCCCTGCCCTTGGAAAGCCTAGAGGTATCTCTGCTGTGATCTTTCACCTGCCTGATGGGCTCAAAGTGGTACCAAGTTCAGGAATTCACTTTAAATTCTACTGTTAAAATAGTGCTGACCTGGAATATTGCTAGTATCAGTAGATTGATCCACAAGTTTTGCTTAGGTTTCTCTCCTCCAGAGAGAGTTTAATGCTTCCATGCAACATGAGGCAGAGGAACTTGGTAATGAGTTTGCAAGCTGCAGTGCACGCATGCAGGCACAACCTTACTCTTGCCCTAGCTCTTTTTAAAAAGGGAAATATCACTGAAATTTAACTGTTTTTACTGAAAATGTCCTCTAGTGACACCTTATTTTAGAAATAGGTACACTAAAAACTTCCCCCTCCCCACTACTGTTGTGGATCTTAATTATATGCTATTACTAATCCTGTTGTAAGACACAGACCCAGTATGGCACAGTAGCAATAAACTGTTACTAAATCCACAATACTGTGATATTGTCTGTGACACACAGGTAAAATATTATTTCTGTTAGCACTGCAGGGTTTCAAATGGATATGTAAAGATTGATTTAAGAATAACATGAAATTATGATTGTTTTGAATCACCCTCATTTCAGAATAATAAGTAGGACCTCTGCCATGTTGAGGTTTAAACTGGATTGGAAAAATCACATTCTGTGGTGGAATCATGATTACATTGCTGTCATTTTACTGATGGATCTAGTAGCTATCAAGAAGCTCAGTATGCTCAGATAGTCACACAACCAGTAACAGGGAGAACATCTCTTACACTTCCAACCATATGCCATAAAAGGCAGATTGAACTAGAAAAGTACCTTCATTTTTCATGCTGAGTTTGTCCAATTTTCTACCATAGTGGAAAGTAGCATTTGCTGACCAGAGACCACCCCGGAGTGCAGTTCCTACAGCAGAACAACATGGAAGGAACTAGACCAGATGTCCACCCCAGACCTGCAATGATTTTGTCAACAACTAGAAAATGCACCATTTCAAGTGCAGTCCCACTCTGGATAGTGTCTGTGCAGAAATGACACCTTCCTTTTCAGGACTTGTATTAGAGAGGTGCTGTGTTTCTAAACCATATTCTTCTCAACCCTGAAGAAACAGTCCTGCAAGCAGAGGTAGAAGTCACTCATAGCTTGTCATACACAATTAATGCAGTGGTCAGCTGAATTTCAACCTGCCAGGCTGTTACCATGCTACTGAGGAGCAAGATACGGAGAGCTGGATCCCAGTTGTAACAGGTACCGGAGAGAAGTGGCTTCTGCTGAGCAGGCAAGAAGCCAGTGTGTCTTTTAATGCTGTGGCTTTTATGGACCTTTTCAATGCTGGTAAAAGGAGACTTTTATTGAGCATCCCTTTATATAGCCAGCCTTCTGAAGTTGTAAAAGTCTGCCTTGCATCACTTAATGAGCCCAGTTCAGCAGACATGATGCATATCTAGTCCCTCTTGTTTTCCTATTCTCCACCAATAAAACCACATTTTGAAGTGAAATTAACAGAGATTATTTTACCTAATACTGTAATTACATTTTAGATATGTCTGTCTGCTTCCTGCTATCCTTAAAAAAACCCAAACAAACAACAAAAAAAACCAACCTGAAAAGTGATACTTGTAGAATGAAGCACAGCCTTCAAAAGAAAAATAACAAATACAAATAAACTCTCAATACTTTGCATGCTACTCTGACACATCCATTGGTGTTGGTGTCCCATACTGGCTATTACTATCACTCTTTATCCATTAAGGGTTTTTAAATCTGAAACACATATTAATAAAAATATTACAGGTCAGTTGTGTAACTAGCAGTGTAAATAAATATTAAATGGCTGCTACAGCTTAGGAAGTAATCTGTATTGGTATTTCATGTACCAAGTGAGGGCTTTCCTTTCAAAGCAAAGGATATGTGTTGAGGTAGGTAAAGATTTTTCTGTAGTTCAGTTACAGGAACAAAAAAGCCTTCCCAGGTACATAAAAGGGTGTTACTTGCTAGAGTATAGAAGTAGATTTTGAAAGTTAAACTGTGGCATTTCTTGGTAGTTAAAACAAAAAGCCCATTGTGTCACACAGCCCAAGTTAAAAATTATGGTTTTTCGCTCAGGGCCATATACTTCTGTCATGAGCTGCTCCAGCAGAAACTGATGCTACATTCTGTGAGGGCAATTTAGTGAGACTCACCTTGCTGCATGGCACTGCAGTTATTGTTGCATGTGTTCAGTAAAATCTGTGGAACCTGAATAGGTTGGACTTGCTGATCATACATGACTCATTTAGGCAATTGAAGAACAATAAATCAGACAATTCTTTGAAGTGTGAGATTCCCAAGACAACTGCACATCCATGGTGGAAAAATACCCTCGACTTTTCTTCCAGTTAGTCTTCCATGGCTACTGGACCCTGGAAATCCCCACAGAAGAAGCACAGCAGTTAGATTGCATCTGAACAGTACTTCTGCTGCAAGGAATGTTCATACTGGAAGGGCTTACTTTGGGCCTTAATCATGCCTGAAGTACATCTGCTTGGGTTAACAGGATAAAGGTAGGTATAACACATTGAATTTAGTGGGGGTGGGGTGTGTTTGGGGGGTAAGTCCTCTTCCCCAGTCCCCTGTAAGAAAGCATTTGTTGCTCTGCTACTGAAAGCTTGCTTTCCAACTGCATTATAGTGTATTCATCTTCAAAAAAAGCAGGATCTCTGCTAATAGCAAAATGAGTTACAAGAAATCCCAAGCAGTTACACAAAGCTCTTTGT